AAAAACCGCAAGACTTTGTAAAGATACTTTTTTAACTTATTCTGACGTAGAAAATCTATCCTCCGCCTATGCCTATATTTAGAAAGAAACAGCCAATTCCTTACTTGCTCGGAAAAGATATGACGACAATTTTTCAGTTTGGCCTCCGTTTTCAGTGGAGGTAACACATTTGTGGCCTGCAAAATTGTAGTCACCAACTCATTCAATATAACGAAGATGCACAGGAGACAATATTGCATAATAATATAAACAAGTCTAAGTATAGAACTCATTCCTGTCCGCTCACTGCATCACAACCTCATAGATGAGTTGATGGAGGCTGTGACTCAATGAATAGTGACAACTGAACATAATCTTGCTCCGATCTGAGACAGAGTGGTGTTTAGATCCAAGTGAGGTCTAAAAGTAAACTACTCCTGGATGAGACCATACTTATGATATTTATAGCAGAGTAAAATAATAAAGTAGAAACAAATGGTTCTTTAATTTACAACAAGGAAGCCAACAGTCAACGCCCATAATATCATTTACCGGCGATGCCTCTTAATTAATAAACAAAATTTCTTGAAAATTTTAATATCATTACAAATGCATATTAAATGAGGCTCTGTTTGTGACCCCTTGGTATTCGGATATGATAGTCTTCTCGAGCAATGGATAAAGAAGAAATCAAGGTTACTAGCTGCCTGAATAACTCAGAGGAGCGTAAAATTAAAACCGAATATCGTACCCATTAATTGCTATCCAATTTATGCAGCTATACTATAAAATAATAATAATAATAACCCTAGTATGAATACCAGGATGATGTGGCCTTTTGTATGTTCGCGGTCTCCTTTCGTTGGATAGAACTAGTTTGACCTTGTTTTCGCAACTTATTGGCAGGAAGACGTAGAGGAACACACTTAGTCCGTAGGATCATTTCCATAGTTGGACGGTGGACTTGGTACATTCCCAGAAGTTTCGCCGGCATCATCAGTCAGTTGCCATTCTCACAAACCAAGCTAGAACTGGTCAAGAAGACAAGTAAAGTCAATCCCTTGACCAACTTTCCGTTGAGACGGTTAGTCAGAGGATTGACTTTACTTGTTTCCTTGACAAGTTGTAGCTTGGTTGGTGAGAATGACAACTCACTGATGATGCCAGCGAAACGTATGGGAATGCACTAACTCCATCGTCCGACTATGGAAATGATCATGCCTACTATGGACTAAGTGTGTTCCTCTACGTCTACCTGCCAACATGACCAAGTTGCGAAAACAAGGTGAAACTACTTCAATAAAAACCCTGGTTCACCTGAAATCATATTTATTTATTTTGCACACACACAATAGCACGATACAATAATCATCATGCAGAAGTAGGCTAATTACGCAGGTACATTTTTGTATAAATATGCATAACTATGCACTCTTGAGCCGATCAGCAAGTCGGTAGTGAAGAGCCGAAAGCAAAATTTGGCGAATTTTACTTAAATGACTGGGATGAGCAAAATGAAACGGTTTGCCTTAAAATGCGGTTACATCGGGATGCATAACATACTAGAAAGCAAGCACTAAAAAGTTTAGGCTGAAAAATGAACACTATAGACATTTTTGGGAGTTGTAGAACGAACAAAAATTTGTTTAAGGTTTCCATCTAGCAGAATTAGGGTCCTCCATTTAGTGAGAAACATTTTTCGAGTTAGAGAGACAGACATAGACAGCGACAGTAAGAAAAGGAAATGAAAAAGATGATGCGGAAGATAAAGAAATACAACAAAAAGCATCATTTCATCTGGTATAGGTTTTTCTATTATTGACTTTTTACCTTATTCCAAAATATTTCGAGACTTCCTCTCATATGAAGAGTTACTATACCCGAGCCATTAATCTTATACACTAAATATTGATATGTACGTGGGCTGAATAAAATACATGAAATGTAACCAAGTGGCACTAACTCTCATAACTATAAAATAATGAGGCAATTAAATATCGCGCCATTAATTAGGAGGATAACTAAGTTAAAAATGGCATTCACACATCGTCTGAAGCATTAAATTAAATGTGATCAAATTGTTCAGGATAAAAAGCACCCTAAATCTGTTACAAAACACCAAATCTATAAAGTAGAAAGATGAAATAGTCAGGCGAGTATGTGAAAAATGTAATGTTTTTTTATACCATAGCAGAAAATTTGATATATTTCTAGAGAACACCAATAAGTGGGAGCAACAAAATTTAATCAGAATTATACTGATAAAAATAAAGCCCTTTGGTAGCTTGGCATCACTTCTGACCCAGCATAAGTATGCCAAGCAATACATTTTTCAAAGTAAAAAAAAAGAGTTTGCAGGATAGGCAATAAAATTCATCCTAACATTCACAATCACTTAAGATAGTTGCTCCTATTTATTGCCTCATCATGAACAAGATAACAAAAAGTCGAATAGTGGCAAATGACCGAGAAAATGGTTTTTCGAGATTTTCTACTATTATCAAACACCATATCACATGCCATCGTTAAATGTGGACAATGACCCAAGGTACTGTGGTCCGTGTCAACCTGTTAGAAGTTAACATGTAAGGGAGTTCAAAGCACTCAGTAAAATTGGGAGTAGGAAAAGTAAGGCTTTATTGCAATTTAGGGTACAATTTACCACATAGTGGATTATCACTTAACTAAAGAATTCATAATGTCTTTCCGATAGTTCGGATGGAGGAATGATCCAGGTCGCGTGGAGCATAAACAAGATAACACTTCATAATAGTATCATGCCGTGAGAAGGAAATTGCGGTCAAATTGAAGATGAAATTGCCCTTTATTTAGTATGTATATACGACAATATTAATTAAAATCACGTGCATATAAATGCTGAAATGTAGCTTTGTGTGGCCACAGCCTCGCCTTTGTAAGCTTATATGTCTCACCTACGCAACTGTGCTATGCATACCACGAAGCTTCGGAGAACCTACTGGATGCTGCCTACTGATATTGACATCATAGGCTCTTTCCACACCGGAGCATTGCTGCATAATTTACAAACGTGGCCACGGTCAAAGTAAAGGGCTTCATTCGCCATTGTGAAGAGTCGTCTCGATGCTAATCACTGGTTATGACGACCACCAGGTTGACGAAACGTTTAGGAATATACCCAATTGAAAATGCAATGCGGAAGGGACACAAGAAAACTAGCAGAGGTGACAGCAACAAGTGCCTTCTTCGAAGTCTCCCTGCAACTATGGCCAAGGTAAGCAGACAAGGTTAGCCAATTTTAGCAAAATCTGACTCAATTTCTTGCTAAATAGTCTTCAGTGCGAAATGCAAACGGAGCAGAGCCATGTAGAGCGTTAACAGTCTCGGGTCTAGAATTGATATTTCCTTTAAACTGAATAAATGGCCGAAATGTCTGTCTGCCTGTGACAAATCAAGTGCACAGGTCAAGTCGGAAGCAGGCCATTTCAGCTGAGGCTGGGCGACTATTCGACCTTTTGTGTATGCGATGGAAACATGGTTTACTGCAGTTTGTGATTTTCACGCTAAAGAGCGAAGAATACGTTTTGCGTGATGGTGCAAACAAACATAAACGACTAAACAGGTAATCACAGGGTCAGGTGTCCAACCGAAATGCGGGCACATGACCCGATTTTAATGAATGAAGTGACACATGAAGCTGCGATGACGCAACTTTTTAACCAAAATCACCGGATAAGCAGGGACTGTCTGGATCCAACGAATGGAGTGTCGTTTGCAGGCAGACGCGTGAGCCGACCCAAAGACCAACATTAGTGCAAATCACACGTCCTCCCGTCGAAAGTGATGCAGACCGAAACGGTGGCAAGCAAGCTAGAAGCCGTGGTACCTTCGAAAGATGAGTCTGATAATGCGAATTGTAGACAATGCTGGCATGAAGATCAAGGGCCATCGGAGTTGCCTGGCAAAGTACCAAAACTTTCCTTCAGCATGAAGGAAATTAGTGCGATTTGGGATAATCTCGATGAGGAATGGTACAAGATGTAGGGCCCGTTTCTATACCGATTTACTTAATAAACAGTCAAAACGATTAGTAGATTAGTTGAGGAGAAAAGTTTTCCTCTGACACGTCAAGAGCCTGTACCAGTCTGCCAGAGATTTTGTGAAAACCAGACTAAGAGATCCATAAGAAAGAAGCCCTCACATACAAAATAATAAAGTTGAAGTGAAGTGAAGTGAAGCAAGCAGAGTGAGTGAGAAAACTTCCACTAAAGCCGAGCTACCCAGTACAGATTGCGCCATTCAAACTTGGATGTCTTTTCAATGCAATCCAATCCTGTCTGAGAGTATAGTCAATCGT